CTCAGGTTCAAGGTTTTTGATTTAGGACCCTATCCAATTGATGACCAGTGGTCTTACTTATTGCTTACATCTTTCCAACTTTCCAAAGAGTCTTTCATCTCTGAAACAACCACTTCTATGTGAAATCGAATATTCTTTCTTGCTTTGGAAAAGCTTTTCTGAATTACTTTCTGTATTGGGGAAACAATATTTTTACATTATAAATTATGAGGTTCTTGTGTCCTTACTATTATATCTTTATGTCTGTTTCATTTTTCCCTTACCATTTATACAAAAAACTTGAGGCAGTTAAATAGGGTCAAAAATTACCTCCCATATGTAGTAGACAGGGACACATCTGATCACCTGTCTCTATTAAACCCTGAAACACATTCATTTACAACTTATTATATAAAAATAGCCTCTAAACAAAACTTAGCTGGAGAAGAGATGAGAGAAATAAAATATATAAAGAAAATGTAATGAGGACACAAAACTACAGTTATTCCCAAAATATACTGAATTCAAATGGCTTTAAATGAAACTTGAGAATTATACACACTTAAGCTAAAAATAATCAAATATATAAAATATGGTATATATGGTTCAAGTGATACAAAAATCCTCAAAATTGATTGCTGTATATAAAGGATCTTTCTAGACATGTGAACAAAAGAAGCTGCCCTCTTCCTCACCCACCAGTTCAGAATTTCTGAAATAGATTTTGGTGCATAAAATAAAACGTCAATCAAGAGTTTAATGGTGGGGCACCTGGGTGGCTCAGTCAGTTGAGCATCCAACTTCTGCTCAGGTCATGATCTCGTGGTTTGTGGGTTTGAGCCCTGTGCTGACAGCTAGCTCAGAGCCTGGAGTTTGCTTCAGATTCTGTGTGTCTCTCTCTCTCTGACTCTTCCCTGCTCACACTCTCTCTCTCTCTCTCAGAAATAAATAAAACATTGAAAAAAATTAAAAAATAAAAGAATTTAATGCCCAACTTGTTTAATGACTAGAGTTCCAAGTCAGTCAAAAATCTGCAACTATACAAACTCTAAATTAGATGTTTGCTTTTTAAAGACAGGTAAAAATAGCGTTTTATATAAGAAAAAATTGCTTTGGAATTATATAAGTACAGCTACCACAATTATGTGCTAAAGTTTATTAACCATACAGATCTGGTTTTCCGTTCTCAAAGGTCTCAAGAATTAATGACTTGTGGCAAATTTGGTTTGAAAAACTCTGTATTTCCTTAATGTTATAAGTGCCTTTAAAATGCGCTCTACTCAAATACCAACAGTCAATGTGTTAACCTACCAAATAGGGAAAGCATGCAAATTAAAATACCATGAAAGAGTATTTTTATCTATCAAATGAAAATATTATAATCAGCAATGACGACCAAAATGTGATAAAACCAGCTTCTAAAAGGCAACCTGGCAATATTTACCAAGGGTCTCTGGAGCTCTCATTCTACTTCTAAGAATTAATTTTGAGAAAGTAATAAAATAGGTCATCAAAGATTATCTTCACCTCTCAGTCACAACAACAAAAATAACCTTAAGGTTCCTACTAGGAAACAGTTAAAAATGGTACATCCACATTAACGACTATTGTAAGACATAAAACTCACATCTACCTATTTAATAAAGGTCTACACAACAGAACAGTCAACAGAAAAGGATATATTCAGTATAAACTGAATTCAGAAAACTGGTTCATATTTTTACTACCTATATACATAAAGGTATATGGTATATATAAAGTACTGATTACTATTACTATATATACTAAAACACAACAGTGTTTATCTTAGAGTATTATAGATAATTAAACAAATTTTTTAGACTTTTCAGTATTTCTACTTTTAAAAAATTTTTTTAATGTTTATTTATTTTTAAGAGAGACAGAGAGTGTGAGTGGTGGAACGGTAGAGAGAGAGAGACACAGATTCTGAAGCAGGCTCCAGGCTTTGAGCTGTCAGCACAGAGCCTGATGTAGGGCTTGAACTCCTGAACCACAAGATCATGACCTGAGCTGAAGTCAGACGCTTAACCAATTGCGCCACCCAGGCATCTCTCAGTATTTCTACTTAAAAAAAAAAAAAATATTTGTTTCTTTTAGGAGAGAGCAACTCTGCACACACAAGCAGGAGAGGGGCAGAGAGATAGAGGGAGAGAGAGAATCTTAAGAAGGCTCCACACTCAGCACGGAGCCCAACATGGGGCTTGATCTCACAACCACAAGATCATGGCCTGAGCCAAAATCAAGAGTCGGACGCTCAACTGACTGAGCCGTCCAGGTGCCCCAGTATTTCCTCTTGTTAAAAATAATGATTGGATCTTACTTTTATAAGCAGGAGAGAAATGTATGCCTGGGGGGAAAAAAACATTTTCAAGATTTATCATAAAGCAAAATGGAATTGGCAATTCAAATGGATGTGCATGCAATTGACAGGACACACTGCTGGCACTTGCCATGTGGGATCCAAATAGCACAAAGTCCGTTTAAGGCTTATAATGGGGCTTATTTTATTATTTTTTCTTTTATAGTTTATTGTCGAGTTGGTTTCCATATAATACCCAGTGCTCATCCCAACAAGTGCCCTCCTCCATGCCCATCATAATGGGGCTTATTTTAAAGGAGGTATCCTGTAGGACAAGATGAGTTTGATACTCTGATCTTATAAATTACTATTTAATATTGTTTTCTAAGGTCTAAAATGATATACATTAATCAACTGGCTTCACGTCCTATTTGGTTTATTTTCATGGGAACAATTTTGTTTTTCATTTAAAGATGGATGGTACTGGGCCAGAAAGCATTCTGGATTCTGAATTAGAATACTCAATTTTGAGTTCTGCTTTGCTCTGCTACTTACAGGTCAAGTCATGAACATCTCTAAGCACCTTTCCATATGAAAAAAATGGAATTAATAATACTTTCCTTATTTATCTCACAGAATTATTTGCACTAAAAAATGTCTATATGAAATCATTCCAATTTTAAATGATCATTGATCACTAAATTTTAACAAACTTCTGAAACATATAGTTATTAGTATACTGTCTCTATATTAAAATTAATTCCACTTTTGAAGAGGAGATTCAAGATGAAGGGAATTAACAACTGGCCATTTTCATGCTTCTACTGGGAATAAGCAAACAGAAGGAAATATGCCTATCTCTAGAAGGAGATCTGAGAGAATGTCTAATGTCTGGTGACACTAAATTAGAAGCCCACAATGAACCATTATTTCCAGGAGCAGAAACAGAGTGACAGCATGGATAACAAACTATTTGTGTAAACAATGTGCCCCATAGTTTTGCTGGGATCTATGCTCTAGAGTTGTCATTTGAAAAGGGAATTACGTAAAACAGTGTAACTTGGCAGTGTTTTTCCATTAATGCAAGAAATATATTTTACTTGGTTGGCATCATGAAATTAATGGATTCACTCATAATAAAATCAGCAAGACTATTATCATCTAGATCTAGTTTACTGACTATTCATTTAATATACAACTAAATGATTTCAAAATATTCAATGTCAATGATAAAAATAATCCTAAATCTGAGTGTGAAAAATAGCCCACCATTTATCCTAAGCTGTACCCCCAGATCCAACATATTACCTTGGTTTCAAAATGATTTCAAAAATGATATCAAGACTAGGAAGGATATCAAAGGCTATTTGTATGTCAATATCATTCTATTTCTTTATTATATAAACTGAAGCAACAGTTACTACTCATAACTTTGTAAAAAGCTAAGGAAAACCAAATTTACTGCTTCTGCTACATGCAATTACTAATCATTTCATATATTTTTAAATGATAAAAAAACCTGTTCAATAAATATATTTGTGTCACTATTGTTACTGCACAAAAACAAAGTGCTTACTTTCTACAAATACTAATTCTTTACTGCAAGAGAGCATCTTGCAATTCTCAACACAAGAATTTCTGGAAATAAACTCAACATTTGGCCCTACAGCCTTAAGTCACAACATTTCTCATCAGGATGATTAATCTTTACAAAAAGACAGGAAAACAAGACAGAACCACCCACTTTGACATTTTCATTCTTTGAAGAAAAAAAATCCATTTCTAGTTCACAAAATGGAACTATCACTTGTAAAAAATATGCAATCCATCAAGAGTACTTTTTGATTATAAGATTACCAAGATCATTATCTTTCTTATTTTTTTGCACTGAGAAAACTGTTAAGAGTGGTTCTAACTTAGTTTTACTTAGAAATCTGATAAACCTTTGCTCAAGAAGCAACCAACCATTAATAACAAGGTTACTTCATTTTTTCCTTTTCTGCTTACTTGAAAAACATAAACAACAAAGTATAACATCCAAAAAAAAAAAAAAACACTCTACTCCATTGGTTTACACAGGACTCCTTTTCGTCTGACTTTGCTACATCCATGGATTCGAGTGTAGAGAGTATGTATTTTTCAGATAAGCATCCTAGAGCTGTTTTAAGCCAGTCTCATGTTGTGTGTGTGTCTCTGTGCTTGTGCGCCTGTGCCTCTGCTTAAGTAGTAAAAAGCAAAAGCATCATTGTGGTCATTTGGAAAGTGGAAAAGGAAGAAGAGGTGTGCAAAAGCAGGAAAAGGTTTTTCTGCAGGCTCAGGAGGTTTGCTCTTGGCTATAAAGTAAAAGCTTTATCCTAAAAGGAGCCAAATTTGAGATGATTCTTAAAGATTTGGGTTTGAAATCTTTCTTTCCTATTTCCTTCCCTTTCTTTGAGCAGGTTAGGTAGGGAGTAAATCAGTTTTCACCTTGAGAAAGCTCTGATCTGGAGAAAAGAAGAGAGTATTAATGATTCAAGGTGAGTTATAAAGAAAGAAATCATTCAAAGTCAGGGTGGAGTGAAGATGGGGAAGGAATATGGGTGTGGAGAGGGTCAGGAGAGGAAAGTATAGGAAAAGCAAAAGAGAGAGGGTGCTAAGAAAATAGTTTGGAAACTAAATTGATAAAACCACCAACATGTTCAATTTAACATAATTCACTTACCTGTGTTATTTTTTCTATTCCCTGGAAGTTGTGCTTTTCAAAATGTTCTGCTATATTTAGGAAGGTGTGACGTTCTAGGTAGCAGCAGTTACTTAGGACTATCAAAAGTCTCTGTTCCTAAAAGAAAAAAAAATATTTAGAAAATTACCTTTATGCCTTTATAGTAATAAACTGAGAGTTAGCACTTATTAATTATAATCTCTTATAATTCAATAATATAATTATAATCTCAATATTCAATGTTTTATTTTCCATGGTTCCTTCTTTCCCAATAACAGAAACAATATAATTCTATAATTCTATTAACTGATTGCTATTACATAATACACTAAAGAGTCAATGCTGCCTTTTAAATTTAATAGCTATATGGAAAAACAGTTAATTAGTAAGCTGTTGTTCTTATGAAAGGGGTTCTATTTTACTGGTTTTTCTACCTAATATTTTTTGCATCAAAAAATGCTATAAAATCGGTATTTTAAAATAATTACAAAAACACAGAAACTAATAGAAAATAATTTATAAATTTTTCATAACTTGAAAGAGAATTAAAATGCTATCCATACAATGGGCTCCTTCTAAAAACTGGGCCTTCACAGATGTTTTTATGTAGAACAGTTTCCCTCTTATGGGGAGTGATGAGACAGAGGCTAGGAATTCTCCCACAAGTAACAGTCATGAAGAGGGTTAAGCCTCATATTCTATACTCCCAGGGTTCTAGCCAGTTTAGGGTAATTTCTTATCAAAATTACCAGACCTCAAGGTTGATGAATAAACATCACTTTACAGTTCAAAAGAACGTTTTGTAAACAAAATTCCAGGAATGGCATTTGTCACTGCTGTTATGGCTCACCAAGAACACTTTCCCATGCTCCCTCAGTGTCAGAGCATTCTACAGAACAATTGTGAGTAATTTAGAGCCTTGATTGAAGATCCCTTGACTAAACACTAAGGCAAAACTACTTTCCAGGAAAAATTTTCAGCTATATTTTGCTTACTATTTTGTCTAGAACTTATGTTAAAGTCAATATAATAAATGTGAGGAAACAACAATATAATAAATATGGAAAATAAATAGATCCCTGCTTTTTGAGATACACTCTGAACTCAATTGCCAAGCATAGCTGTATCTAGTAATTTCATTTAGCTCCACCAAAAATTTTAAAACTTCTTAAATTTCTTTATTTAAAATATTACTATATTTATCACTAGCTGAGTTTGGCCTATTCAACAACTATAACTAAAGGACAAGAAGTTATTAAAGTGCTTTCAAAGAAATGAAAGGTTGTTAGTGGCCTTGAATGAATCTGTGGATGGGAAATAAATTATAAACAAGGAAAACAGGGTTACGGTATATATACCACTCCTCCATATTTTGTGAAAAAATGGCAAGTAAGAATCAGAAAGAATGCAGGAAACAGCACTGCATAGGCTGGCTAGGGGAGGAGTATATTCCCTCTTGCCCCATACCTGCTGTTACCATTATGGTGTCCTCATAAAGAACATGAAATAAAATAAGTGTAAAGTTTCATCAGCTGCTCTAAACATGCTCTGCTCTGCAAAAATCTCAATTGGATTTTCAGTTATAAGATCAATCCTCAATTGCCTTTCCCTTCAAGAGTCTTCCCTCCAAATATAAGCCTTATCTAATAGACCCCTGAGCCTGGTGCATAGTCTTTGACTGGTTAATTAACTCTCTCCTTGTAATCTGCATGGTTCCTCCCCCACCCCCCCCACCCCCGCCAAATGGAAAAATGATTTGAGTGATTTAAAGTTTTACTCTTGGTAAGGGCATTTTTCTTCTCAAATCTAACCAATCAGAAGAGAAAGTGGGAGAAAATGAACACCACAAGTAATCAAATTCTTAAACTTGGATGACTAATTAAAAGCTTATTAACAACTTAGATGAATATGTATGTTTGAAAATAACAACCTATTAAAGATAGTACTTGCTAATTATGAACTATGTCCTGATGTATTATTTCAATTATTTTTCACAGAATCTCTCATATGTAGGCATTATCATCCCAATTTTGTCCAGGAAAAAACTGGTCTACCTTAATGACATTTTTAAGATTCTTCAGTTAGTAAAAAGATCAGGAAGCAAAGTAGTGTCTTCTGACTCCAAACCTAGACCTTTTTCTCACCATAACTGCCTCTCTGCTGGATGACAGAATAAGACCCTAAGATCTTGATAATCTGTACCAAATCTAATGAGAGATAACCCAAATGTAGCAAAACACAGGAAATGAATTTGGTACCAAATGAGTAATTTTAGGTAGTAAAATGGGAGCAATAAGACCCTATGACCAGCAGAAGCAAGTATGAAACACCTGGGGTTTGGCTGACAGTAAGCTCAAAACAAGTCAATAGAGACGGAACGTAAGGTATAGTTCTGGCTGCTTCCCAGTTACCAGGGTCACATCAGAATCCTATACCCCACCCTTGAAAAAGGTTGGAAACAGACTAATAGGAAAACCACTGCCACATTGATTAGGAAATGCCTAAATGACTTAGGGTGCTAACTAAGAAAAAGGAAGATTCCAAGCCCATACAACAACTATTTTCAAACACTGTCATGTAAAGTGTTCAAAACACAGTCATGGAAAGACTGTCATGTAGAAATTAGGCTTCTTTTAAAGGATGGAGAAAAAAGCACAGATGGCGCAACAACACAAGTTGTTCTCAATTTAGAAGGCTCTTTCTTCTAGCCTGTGTCCTTCTCTAGTCTTCTATGTACACGGTGGAAAAAATGGTTTAAAGTCACTACGTCAACTTCCTTAGCTCCTATTCGATCTTGACCCTGTGCACACAGATGGCCCTTTAGCATCCACTGTTGTGTTTCTTCTATAGTCACACATGGCCAACTAACTGCCAAGCCCACAAGGCTCTAGTTTTCATCTGACCCCACCTAATCCTCCATCAGTGTGCAATACTGTTAAATATTCCTTTGTTTAAATACACTTTTCCATCTTTCTCAAGAACACTGCTCCATCTGGATTTTCTTCTCTTTCTCTGATTATTCTCTTTCAGAAAACTTTGAGGCTCTCTGCTTCTGGCCATTCCTTAAATACTAGTACACCCCAAATTGTTTTTATATATTTGGCCCTCCTCTCATTCTACTAGTATTTTTCATAGCATACTCATCCATTCCCAGGCCTTATCTTGCTTCAACAGTTGACCCTTGAACAACACAGGTTCGAACTGCAGTGGTCCATATACATGCAAATTTTTTTCAAGGTAAATACAGCACAGTATTGTAAAGTAATTTTCTCTTCCTTATGATTTTATTAACGTTTTTTTCCTCTACTATACTTTATTGTAATACAGCATATAGTAATAACATAAAATATGTGTTAATTGACTGTTATTGCTAAGGCTTTTACTCAACAGTGACTATTAGTAGTTAAGTTTTAGAGAAGTCAAAAATTATACATGGATTTTCAGTTGAACAGGGCATTGGTATCCCTAATCTGTATATGCTTAAGGGTCAAGTGGAAATTTCTAATTCACAACTCTGTATCTAGATTTCTCTCTTGGGGTCCAGACAAGTATATCTAATCACTCACTAAATACCTCTGCTTGAATGGCACTCATTCAGTACATCTAGTCCCAAACAAAATTTTTAATCTTTCCTAAAATGACAAATTCTTCACTTAGGAATTCACACTTATAAATATAGCATTTGTAAAAAAAAAAATAAAAAAAATAAATACAGTGTTTGTGGGAATGAAACAGGGCAGGAAATTTTGGTCATATGTTTTCTTTCTTGAAAGATACATATACATATATACATAAACACACTCACATCCTTCAAGCAAATGACAAACCAGAGAGGGTTATGTTTTTTTTTTTATGATGGATGGGTTTAGAATTTAAAAAAAAAAAAAAAAGATAGATGGGTTGGGATTTCAAGACGTGAATTTATACATATAATAAAGTATGTGTGTGAATCATCCCTAAATACATGTATATGTTAAAAACCAGTCTAAGTGTATATATATACATATATGTATGTATATGTATGTATATATATATGTATGTATATATATATATAAGGTAATACAGTTTTGTTTTTGCTATGGAACTTTATGTTCAAATGAAGTGCTATTAGGAAGTATCAGGAATCAGAGCTTCTCTGATAAAAGAGGAAGGGTATGGGAAACTTGCTCTGCAACTTTCACACACCAGGGAACCACTAGGGCACCTATTTTCACACTCACAAACCTGCATGATTCTGGGAGTAGATGGAATTATTTAAGTTACAACTTTGGCTAAAAAGTTTTTAAGTGGAATACATATAAAATTTTATTTTTACTAAAAATTTCACACACACAAAAATAGCCCCAAAGTATAGAGCAGTATATTACAGCAGTTATACAAGAGAAATCAAAGTAATTTAGACTGATTTGTAAATCATTATATAGTTTTTTTTTTTTTTTTTAATATTTTTATTTATTTCTAGGAGAGAGAGAGAGAGACAGTGTGAACAGGGGAGGGCCAGAGAGAGAGGGAGACACAGACTCTGAAATAGGCTCCAGGCTCTGAGCTGGCAGTCAGCACAGAGCCCGACGCGGGGCCTGAACCCACGAACCGCGAGATCATGACCCAAGCGAAAGTCGGGCGCTTAACCGACTAAGCCACCCTGGCGCCCCCATTATATAGTTTTAAAATGACATTTCAGCCTTCTATTTATCATCTTACTTACAGAAGTCAAACTGAAGTCTTCATGGATACTTCCAAACAAATCAGGAGAAGATACATCAACAGAAAGGCTAAATAACAGAAACAAGAAAGAGAACAGTTACAATTAAAGCACTAAAATTAAAAATGTTAATATAATGTTATATGCCTATTATACCTCAATTTAAAAAAATATAATAAACTCTATGTAAATTTGACTTTAAAATCTTGGTCAAAAATCGCATAACTCTCTGTTTTTTATATTACACAACAGCTCAAAGCAGACACTGTAGGCTATCTATTAACAGACCCATTATGAAATTTGCTTTTGGCTCTTCCAAATACTCAAATTTTTTAAAAGTCACCAAAAGGGAAAATACCAAACAGTTTAGTTTTTAGGTATAGACTTAAATTAACTGAAATGTTTTTGCCTATCAGAATCTCCAGAGGGCTCTTTCAAGCTCAATTTCATAGCAAATCACTTATCGGTGAATTGAGTTAGGAAATTAGTTAATAACCAAATAACCAGATATACAAAAGTGCAGGGGAGGATATACTATAAATCCTCTGATTAACTGATATAACAGAATCATATTAAACACTTTAGTGAAAATTCTTTTCTTTAAACCTAACCAATGGATTTTAGATTCATACAGAACACTAAATAAGTGAAAATAACATCTTAAAACAAAAGCAATAGAAGGGTACCAATCTGAAAAACAATAAAAAGTGAACTAATGAACATTAAAATAACACAAACTGGTATAAAACATATATGAATGAATGGAACAGAAAATAGAGTTCAGAAATATATAGAGAACTCTAAATACTTCACCAAAACCACTAAAACTAATAAATGAATTCTGTAAAATTACAGGATGTAAAATCAATGTGGGTTAATCTGTTGCATTTCTATACATGAATAATGAAGCAGCAAAAAGATAAGTTAAGAAAAAAATTCTATTTACAACTGCATCAAAAATAATAAAATACCTAGGAATAAACTAACCAAACAGGTGAAAGATCTGCACTCTTACAACTACAAAACAATGATGAAAGAAACTGAAGACAACACAAAGAATTGGGAAGATACTCCCATGTTCATGGACTGGGAAAACAAATATTGTTACAATGCCCATACTATCCAAAGCAATCTACACATTTAATGCAATCCTTATTAAAATACCAATAGCATTTTTCACAGAGCTAGAACTTCTAAAATTTGTAGAGAAGCAAAAAGATCCCAATTAGCAAAAGCACTCTTGAAAAAGAAAAGCAAAGCTGGAGGCATCACAATTCCAGATTTCAAGTTATATTATAAAACTGTAGTGATCAAAAACAGTATGGTATTGGCACAAAAACAGACACATAGATCAATGGAACATAACAGAAAACCCAGAAATAAACCCACATTTATGGTTAAGGCAAGAATAACCAATGGGAAAAGGACAGCCTTTTTAATAAATGGTGCTGGGAAAACTGGATAGCTACATTCACAAGAATGAAACTGAACCGTTTTCTTATACCATACACAAAAATAAATTCAAAATGTATGAAAGACCTAAACGTGAGACCTGAAACTAAAAATCCTAGAAGATAACACAGGTAGTACCTCTCTGACATCAATCATAGCAATTTTTTCTAGGTAACTTCCCTGATGTAAGGGAAACACAAGCAAAAATAAACTATTGGGACTACATCAAAATAAAAAGCTTCTGCACAGCAAAGGAAACACTCAACAAAATTAAAAGGCAACCTACAGAATGAGAGAAAATATTTACAAATGATATATCCAAAAAAAGGTTAGTATCAAAAATATATTAAAAAAACTCTAAGGGTGCCTGGGTGGCTCAGTCAGGTGTCTTACTCTTGATTTCAGATCAGGTCATGATCTTACAGTTTGTGAATTTGAGCCTTATGTCAGGCTCTAAGCAGACATCATGGAGCCTGCTTGGGATTCAATCTCTCTCTCTGTCCCTCCCCCCTCTCAAAATAAATATATAAACATTTTTTAAAAATAGACAGAAGACATGAAAAGATGTTTCTCCAAAGAAGGCATCCAGATGGCAAAAGACACATGAAAAGATATACTTCACAAATCATTAGGGAAATGCATATCAAAACTACAATGAGATATCACCTCACACGTCAGAATCGCTAAAATCAACAAAATTTTAAAATGCAAGAAACAAAAGGTGTTGGCAAGGATATGGGGGAAAAGGAACACTTATGTACTGTTAGTGAGTATGCAAACAGGTATAGTCACTCTGGAAAATAGTATGGAGGTTCCTCAAAAAGTTAAAAATAGAACTACCCTATGATACAGCAATTACACTATTGGGTCTTTCCCAAAAGGATACAAAAGTACTGATTCAAAGGGACACATGCACTATGATGCTTACAGCAGTATGATCAACAATAGCCAAATTATGGAAACAGTTCAAGTGTCTATCAACTGATGAAAGATGTGGTATATATACAATGGATTATTCCTCAGTCATAAAAAAGAAAAAAAAAAAAGAATGAAATCTAGCTATTTGCAGCTCAGTAGAATAAATCAGTGAGAAACTGGTAAAAATCAGTACCAAGAAAATCACAAAAATGGAAAACTTCTGAAATGATCAATTACAGATATAAGAGGCATTTACTTTAGTATTTTAGGTGTCAGAGCATTAACCTTAGGTGCAGAAAAGTTACAGGTGCCAAATACATTCAGGTATCATTCAGATAAAATAGATTTCTAAAAGACAACAGAGAACTACATTATTAAATAGTTATTACCAGAATTCATAAATATTAAGAATCAAAATGTGTTCTCTGGAGCTCAAATAACTAAGCCTGGCCCAGACTTAATTCTACTAGCAAAATTAGTCTTTAACAAAAGTATTGCTAAATCTCTAATATCAGGATTCTAAAGGTTATCAACTAGATTTATATATTTTAATTTTCATTCTTATTATTTATAAAACTTGTTCCTTTCAATAATTAGTAAGCTAATAAGGTACTCTTTGTCCAACATGTCTCTAGTAATACTAATTAAGATGAGTTCAAAGGATAAATCACCACAGAGGGGGGCACTTGTGGGGATGAGCATTGGGTGTTATATGGAAACCAACTTGACAATAAACTATTTGTAAAAAAAAAAAAAAGAAAAAAAAAAAGATAAATCATAAAAAGGGAGGAGACAAGATGGTGGAGAAGTAGAGAGCTCCATACCTTTCACTTGCCCCCATCTCTCACACCTAGAAGGCCTGAAATCATAGGAACCCTTACAGAATCCAGGAGTTTGGGAGGAAAAGGAGAATTAGTCCGCTGAGAAACCTTATAGTGTGAGTGCAAACTGGGGAAGATAAAATCGGGCCAGGACCAAAGACAAAGAGGGAAGGGGGAGGATCCCCCTCTGCAGGAAGCTGCGGTGAGTCTAGGGGGAAAAAAGGAAAGAGTGACTGAAACTGCTCAAGGCATTGTCCTTGTCGCTGGAGAAGAGAAAAACCTCTGCTTAGGACACAGAGGGACTCGGTTTCCTGCTGTCCAGCTAACCCTAGGGGGACGGACTCCGTCCCAGGCAACCCCGGGAGAAACTGCTCCTTGCTTGCCAGCCCAGCCTGGAGGGGACATGAGCAGTGCCTGAAGCTGCGCTGTTGTGCTTCTGGCTTGGATGGACCCCCAGGGGGGAGGCGAGAGCCTTGAAACTGCTCTGAGGGACTCGCCGGCGTATTTATATTTCGGGTGATGGGACAGAGGGACCCGTACCTGCTGTCGAGCTGACCCTAGGCGGGATGCACTGGTCCCAAGAGACCCCAGGTAAAACTGCTCCTCGCTCACCGGCACCACCTGGAGGGGACTCAAGCAGTGGCTTCCGACTCGATCCCCAGCGGGAAGGCTAGAGGCTTGAAACTGCTCTGAGGGACTCGCCTGCGAGTTTCTATTTTGGGCAGTATCAATGGGGTGCATGGACTGAGATCTGGAAATGAGGCCAGGCTTGGGATATGGAGCAAGGCCCACCTTGGCTATGTCTCCGGCACAGGGAGTTCACACCCAAAAGAGTGAGTTGCAACACTTGGTTCTAAAAGGGACTGAGGCACCACCACTTTTATCCCCACAACCACCAAGGCAGGACCCCTGCAGGATACACTAGACCAAACCACGCCCATCCTCGCTAGAGAGCTGCCCTCTTCTTCTTCTTCTTTTTTTTTTTTTACCAGAGCCGGAGCCTGGGCAAGACCAACATGGATGCACTGCCCTGATTAATTCTGGTGACTGGCTTGCTTAAACAGCCACACTTTAACCAATCTCTAGATGTAAATTCTACACCTCCACCGCTACCTTTTTATCTTCTTCTCTCTTGAGTAATGACTACAGTTTCTCTGAGTAGCATTATCGTCATTTCCTTTGCTTCCTCTCCAACCATATTCCCCTCTTTCTCTATTTGAATTAAGCCTCTTAGTCTTTCTGCCTGCTCATTTCATTTTCAATTTTGCTTCCTCCCCGCCCTGTTATTTCTCTCTTTGTATATGCTCTTCCACCAGCACTGCATACACCTGGCTATTTATTTGTAGCTGGGAATTCTGGTTCTATGCTTTAGACTCTCCTTTGTCTATTGGGTTTTTTCTTTTTCCTTTTCTTTTCTTCTTTTTTCTTTTTTATGTATTTTTATTTTTATTATTTGTCTTCCTTCCTTCCGCTTTTTATTTCTTTTTTTGTATGTGTCCCTTCCTTTTTTTTTTCTTATTCCCTTTTGATTTAGCGTGTTTGTTGGATTCGTCTGTGCATTTGTGTGCCTTTGTTCCCTGTGTGTTTGCTGTCTGTTTTTTTTTTCCAGGGCTACCTCAAGAAACAAGCCAAACTACACATGGTGGAGAGTTCCAAATACCAATATGAGTAGGAAAATAAAATAACCAAGGTCTCAACAAGAGAGTCCAAGAGACACCAATTAAAGAACACTTCCTGAACAGACAGGTCCAGGATAGTAAAAGAGCCTTCTTTGGTACAGCAACACTTGCAGGTGCAGATGCATAAGAAGCTTTTTAAACTAACAAGAGATAGAAAGCTACCCAAAATGATGAAACGGAAGAATTCTCCTCCAAAGAAA